GATGCTTTGTTGCTCAATGAATATATGCTTTTTTTTTTTTTTTTTTTTTTTTTTTTTTTTTTTTTTTTTATAATAGGGCACGTGCTATGAAAACTTCAAGAACAGTGTGTTTTATTCGTCAAACAGATTGGCACGTCATTTCACACATAAATAAAACATACACACACACACATGCACACAGTCTGCAAAAGAACCAAGAAAGAAAAATAATAAACAAGTATATAAGACTTACACTCACTGCGAAGTTCGTCCAAAGCTGTCCGGTGATCTTCCCTCTCCACCTCAAGTCTTTCCTCCATGCTAACGCATCTCGCGCGCAAATTGTCGATCTCCGAAAGAACGGCTGACCGTTCATTTTTCATCTTCTCGCAATCGGCCTTCAACTTATCGAGATCGGTCTTTAGTTGGGGAGTGGCAAACGCATCCAACTATTTCAAAAGACAAAGGTTTTGTTAATTAAATTGAAATTTCACGTGTTTTTATATATGCGAAACAAAAGAAAAGAATAAAGACACAACAAGACAATATGAAATGAAAAAACTCCACGTACCTCGAATGCCAGATATTTCACGGTTATTGAAAGCGCTTGTACAGCTCGTTCCGCTTGTTCCGTGTGGAAAGTTTCATAGGGTACAGTAGTTTGCGCGGACTGATCCCGCGTTTCCGCCAATGTCCTCACCGTTACCGAATACGTGGTGTGATGAGTTTCCTTGGACTCACGATCTGTAATCAACGTTGTTGTCGGATGCATCATCTCCAATCGATTACTCTCAAAAACGCAAGCAGGTCCAAGTGTCGGTCGGACACCAATCCACCCACTCTTCTGAGCGTATCAATGAATCTGCCCACGTGCCGCGCAATTTACATAAGTATCTCGATTGCATGTAATATACATGATCCATGCGCGCTGTTCTTGTTGTACACTTTATCGTTCGCAATCCAAAGTATTAAGCAATAAAGAGACCAAAGTGTCATTTTAAAGGACAAAATGATGAATATGCGTTGTTGAGTCTCAGCTTTGCCGACGATTCTCAGAGAGACGTTCATCACGATGTGTGTCTTGAAGAGAGAGTTTGATAGAAAAGTTGTTGGAAAAAGGTTGTGGAAAGTTGGGATATGCTCGTCCCATCTCTATTCGGCTCAACAAGTGAGTTGACACACATATACGCGCGCGCACGCACACACACGCGCACACACGCACACACACATACACACACACACACACACGGAGAAATCGCAGCTTATTGAACCTAAACGAGCGGAACCAACCACGTCAGGCAGTGAAGTTTGCACGTTTACGTCACGTCCTGAATTACAAAAACGGAATCTTTACATGGATCAACTCTTAACACTCAAAAGCGACGGATGCGCAATTATCATCCAAGTTCGCGGCTCAATGAAGACATCGGGTTAAGGTCAACTGTTGCGACGCACAGTTCCAATTGCAGAATTGCCAGAAGACGTTTTGACGACCACCGTTCGTGACACGCGGCCAAGAAACGTCGTTTCCTACATCCTCTCGATATCCACTATCCCCTCTATCATGTCCGTAAAAAAACTTCGATATTTTGGGAACGGATCTACGCAGAATCAAGATGTTTATCACTAAAATGCGCAAAAAACGCGCGATGTAAACAGCTTCGGACATCAGTGACGATTATATGTGTTTCTTGTCAATTGGGTAACGCGACGAAGTTCTCGTCGATACGCCAATTTAACGACCGGAACGACGTTCGATTTATTTATCCTCTGACAGATTTATGGATCAATATCGTGCGCGACGCTAATCAGGATCGCCATTAACAATTTGCTGGCCGAGTTCGCGCTTCGACTGAATTAGCACGAGCCACGGGCCACCTCGGAGAGCCACACGCTCCCCACCCCACGTCTTCATTCTGTGCGTTACCGTCTTCCTCTAAACACTTCTTGTAGTACGCAAGGTGGAATCTTCAAGATCACACACAGCGAGAGCTGAAAAGACGATGAACAATCTTTTCACTTGACATCCTTTTTGCGACACAATTTTTTTTTTTTTCTACAAAGGAGGAAATCTTTTTGTTACACACATATGCGCAAAGATATGTATCTAGACGCGTTCCAAATGAAAAGAAAGAGAAAAACACGTTCGGTTGTGCGCGTTTAGTTGGCGCGCTAAGCTGACATTAGCCGCTTGGCTGATCTTCATCGCTCACAACGAGATCCACTGATAATTATATTTCCGGTGTCCTTGGACGCAAAGATGTCGTGCCTCGAATAACATTCGTCGAATGTTTTTCAATTTGGAATTGGTCACTCTAGATGGAAAGAGACAAACGTTTTACGTTCCGCTTGTCTACCCGCTCACTTTTACGGTCATCGATTGTGAATCCGCAGCGGTCGATGACGTCTCTTTAACATCTTGATAATCAATTTGTGAATAAATGTTGAACAACACAAATATGTGTGCCGCAATTATATTTCTTTGAACAGCATCGTTGCGAACTCCGTTTCTACTCCGACGAGGAGGAGATCGTCAAACTCGACAGAACCGGCTCTCTTTCTCTTGGTAAATTCTGTTTACAAAAGCGAGAACACCGGTTTTTTTTTTTTTTGATAAAACGTTTCTCTCTCTGTAGTCTCGCAACGATGGAGAGTAAATTGACGAGGAGGAGTCAAAAGGAAAGCATCGAGACGTGGTGTCGCGCAAACAGGTTGAGTTTTAGCGTTCGAAGCTATAGTGGGAGAAAGCTGCGACTTTCTTCGAAACGATAAGACTCACGTCGTACAATACGACACCGTATACATGTGTGCAAAACAACAACCGGTCGTCGATTCGACCGTTCTGCAAACGCATCAGGGAAGCAGCTCGCTTGTGTGACGCGTTGCACACCGCACTTCAAGCATTGATGGCACTTGACTTGTATTGTACTTATGTGTACGACTGTACTCATGTGTCTACGCAAAGATTTGTTGTACGCGCGGAATATCGTGGAATGATCGTGAGAATTTGTTGAGAAACTGGCCGCCTACCCGAAGTAAATGGCAGCTAATGGGTCGGAAAGCACCGATGCGTGCGAAATACATTCGCTTTTTACCTCATTGTTGTTTTCGCCAAGTGTCGAAGTGCGGCGGATCGCTTGTTGTTGATTCTTGTTGGCGATAAAGCGCGGCGTGGTAAAAAAAAACCTTTTGTGGTAAAAAACTTTTTCACACAGATAGGCGTGATCTGACTGTTTTTTAAATTAAAAGAAGCAACGAAATTTCACACACAAAAAGAACAACTTTGCGCATACCTTTTATTGACGGCGTGGAGGATTTCTGTTTCACCGTAGCGTTACCCGCTAATCTCCTCGTTATCGCGGGCTTTCGCGCCGACGTCGGACTCTTCTCTGCAAAGAGAATGTGTTGCGTTAACGAGAGCATGTTAAGCACTAAAGCCGCCGATAATACTCCAACTCGCTCGCACGCACACACACACACACACTTGCGGGCAAGTACCGTACGACGGAAGAACCGTTTTACCGTCCATGCGAGATAAAAAAAAAAAAAAAAAAAGTAAAATAAATTAAAATAAATTAACGCAATTTAAATAAACAAAAAAAGTTTTGAAAAACAAATAACATGCAAATAACATTGTGATAAATAATACATATCGCGCGTAATATGATATTCACGAGTGATACACATTCTAATGTATGTAACTCATGTGAATCGCGAGCACCGGTTGATGCGGCCGCGTTTGGAAATGAGAGCCGCTCTCTCTTTTCCTCTGTGTCGTCATGGCGGTAGAACTCCGACCGGAAATACGCGACGGCGGCGTTCCCGTTCCTTTTCTCCCAATCAAAACCTGTGTGCGCGCCGCAGTTATCTTCTAATTTTTCAAATAACAATAATCCAAGTACCGAGTTCAACCGTCGTCACGTCGATGCAGTTCTTCTTCGCGTCAAAAGCATTATTCACATGAACCTGATGATGATTAGCGTGTCCGTTCGAGATGAACCTTCTTGGTGGATTCGCCGACGTCGGTGATCTCTCTGAAAACATTTAGAAAAAAAACGATTTCACGGTGAAAACGATTTCACGTTCTTTTGATAAAGTAGAAAAACAAAAAAAAAACCAAATTTATTCTCTCTCCGAGAAATGAGGTTGTGTGAACGAGATATCGAGCAAAAAGAACAGCAGGTGGTTGTCAACCATAAACTACCACAGCACCGGAAGAATCACCGTTACGTGTGGTCGCCACAAATTCCTCATTTCCTCTTATGTACCTCGTTTGAAACTGCCCAGACGCATTTTTGCCGACTCCCGGTTGAAGTCGGTCCTCCTTGGAAGAGGTCTGTCCTTCGATCCTTGTTGCCCCATTGTGTGGTTCAACGCGCGCGCGTGTGTGTGTTTTCTCAACGTCTTTCCATATATATATATATATATATATATATTAAAATTCGCAAAACGTATCGTCGTCCGCGATTCTCGTCGACGAGAACACGACTGGCTCGCGCGCGTTCATCCTGTCGTTAATCCTGGGAACCGGGCGTGAGAATCGCTCGATGTATGGGTGAGTGACGGCCGCCGCCGTCGTGGCGACGTTCTCCACAACGTGAAGGGCATCTCTCTCTCTTCCGCCTTTCGGAGCGCCGATCGATCGCAACGCGCTGTGTGTTTTTCCTCGGTTTCTCTGGCACACGGACCCCGTCCGCGACTATATTAATAGCGCTATTGCGTTTATATTTCGGTATTATATTCCGCTTCAAAACACCAAACACAGACCGGTTGAGAACTTGGTGAATCGCGCATTTATCGTATACGCAGCAACTTTGTTTGCGAATTTCGTGTAACGCTCAAACAACAGATGAAAATTTTAACGCGACTCGTCGCACACGATCGCAACGCGATCACTGACAATCCCTCCGCGTGAACATTCGATCGCGTGTGGGCTCAGAAGCCGCCGCCGATTCCGACGGAGATTGCGTAAGATCGGAGCGCGGGGCGGCTCGAAGGACCGGTAGTCACGTACCAATAGTCGTCGACCTTGGCAACGCACGTGGTCGTCGTCGCTCGGTCGGATACACCTGCCGCTTGTGATGGTGGGGAAGGCGACGACGAGGAGAAGGCATCCTCGGCGAGCGGTACACGGCGACGCATAGCGAAGAGTGCAACGCTAAGAAAATACACAGCGAGAAGCCTATAAGACCGGAAATAAACCGCGAATGGCGTTGACCCGTAGTAGCAGCTGTCGACGACGACGACGCGATGCCGTTAATGCAGGCGTCATGGAAACTTAGACGCAGGTAGAGACGTGTGCATATCTACCTGCCGCGCGAGGTAGATCGCCTATGCGGTTCGCGGCGCAAACCTAACGTCGTTGTCTTAAAAAAAATTTATATGATTGGCATAACGGAGACGTCGGAATACCGGTGTGTACGACAGGTGGGTGGTCGTCGTGCGGAGGTCGATCCGAGATATTATTCCAACGATATATCAGCTGTCACATTCGCCAAGCGAATGAAATTTCACGACATACTGCCAAAAAGTTTACTGACAAACACTGCGTTAATCAACACTGCTTTAATTTTTTTTTTTTTTTTTTACAGACACACCGCAAGTTTTTTTACACGTGCAAAACGCGCACAAGTAAAAGGGACGAGTAAACGCGGACGGGAAAAAATAGGTCACATTCGAAGAGAGAGAGAGAGGGACGAGAGCGCACTCGTTCTCTCATGCGCGCTTCTATCGGAGACGATCTAGGACGATGCGTGATTGAGAGGAGGTGTGTGTTGGCCACTGCTACCACGGCGAGAGAGAGAGAGAGAGAGAGAGAGAGCAGAATCGAAACGAGGGAGAAGAATCAATGTTAACCGCGTTTGTGAATAAAAATATACATCTCACGCGCGTTCTCTTGTCCCTTGGCGACTGTTGGTGACTGTTCACCAGTAGCACACGCAGCACATGTAGTACAAATATCTACACGTATACATCGAAGGGGGCTGTCAGAAGCAGTCCCCTTCTCGATCGGTCTCTTCCCGCGTATAAAAATTTCCTACGCACTCTCCGATGACCCGATTTCGCGAGAGCAAAGCGAAGAGGATAATAGGTGTGCGTTCCGCGAGAGAAGGGCCACGAAGAGAGGCAGGCGGCTCTAATGCATCGGAGGATTTAGCATGCGTGTGTTACATTCACATATATGTATGCGCGCGCGCGCACACACACACACACACACACACATACACAACGCGATCCAGCACGAGGTATAACGAAGACTACCGACCGTACTGGACCGAACGCGGATGCTGGGTCCGACTGCGGCGAATCTGCGCCGGCCCGACGCAGCGCTTCCTCTTTCGTACAATAGGAAGAGAGCAAAACGACGCCGTATTCTCAGTGGCGCCGATAAAAGGGGCCAATAAAGTTCCTTGGCCTCTTTGACAACCGGGTTTCTACCGCCGCGCGAATGCCACAGGTCGATAAGGGGACCTCGCCTTTCTCTCCGGTAGGTAAGCCTCGTGTTAAAGGATCGCGCGACGATCTTTCCTACTCGCGCGCCGCACGTTCTTTCCCCGAGGTAAGATATTGAATATCTGCGATTTTACGATTTTCGAATCAAGGAGATCTCGTAAAATAATTTGACGAATCGTTTTAGTTGAATAAAAAAATTGAATTTCGCGTAGTTGGGATTGGAGCACGTTTGTTTTTTTAACAACATGATGTTCAAGAAATGTCGCATAATTGTGCGAAGAAAAAATTGTTTTTCTCTCTACATCGCTTTTCTAATTGAGACACGAAGTTAACAACAATATGACAAATCACACGTGAGAAAGTGTAAGAGTATCTGATTAACTTAAACATGTGTTATGTTTAAGGTATTACCCTCACGTCCCTGCGGGCGCGGGGAAGCGGAGAAAGTTCTATCTCACTCCAATTGAGGAAATGGCAATGTCGCTCTTTCTCATAAATTCTCTAATCATAAAATCGCTCGTTTTCTGTGTTATTTTAATTATTACTGAAAAACTGTACGGTACAGGCGTCTGATTTTTCACACATATTTTCTTTATAGTTTAAAGAAGCTGTAGTAATATTTTTAGCCAAATCTGAAAATTTGAACTCTAGATTTGATATTTGATGCTTTCGCGGTGTGTAGTATTAACATACAAAGATGTTTTTTCGGGTTTGAACCGCGTTAGTGTCATTTTTATACCGACGTTTCGCGAACATTACAGCTCATTTCATCAGGGTTTGAAGAGCAGCCTGAGTATCATGATACTCATGCTCTTCAAACCCTGATGAAGTGAGCTGTAATGTTCACGAAACGTCGGTATAAAAATGACACTAACGCGGTTCAAACCCGAAAAAACATCTTTGTATGTTGAACTCTAGATATTTAGGTAAATGCACGTGATTTCCTCATTCTCCCTATCACTTCTATGTTAAATCACGCGAAATTCGTTTTTGATTTTCTCAAAAACTGTACGGTAAAAAAATCTGAAAAAATTCAGGGGTTCATAGATCAAGTTTTTAAACATTGTGTAAAAGTTTAAAGTAAAACTGAAAATTAGAAAACAATCGAGGGTAATACCTTAAAGAGACAATTCATTATTACGTATGTATAGTTTAGTGAGTTCTCTCGTAATATTTATGAGAGATAAGCATAATGTTCTACTGGATTCAAAATATATACAAATGGATTTTACTTACTTGACATTTCCTTACTTGGACCACTGCTGAGATCGCTCATAGAACTACGAACAGAACTCCTAGCCGTTTCTTGTGTCGGTGACTTCATTTCTTGCCAGCCTCTTCTCCTGAGATTTAGAATTATTTCCAACAAAGATTAATATCCAGAAAAAAAAAAAAACGCAATTTGATCTCACACTATTCAAAACTATTTATAAAACTATTTAAAACTTTTATGAAAAACTATTAAAAACTTATTAAAAAACTATTTAACACTTTACGGGTTGGCTGTTCTAAATCACAAAATTTGCCGCACGCTGGGATGTGTAAACACGAGTTAATTCGTGAGCGGTTCGTCAAGTTTGGACGCGAAAACAAAACGAGTATATTTGCAACTGGTCCCCTAAAGTGTGTTAATACAGATTATTTAATTTTGAAAACCATTAGAAGACGAATAAAGACGATTCTCTCAACGAGAAATTCTGACATTTTAGCGAGATATACTATATTGTGCGAAGTTTAAATTAAAAAAATTTATATATTAAAATTGATTTAAAACTTACCTTTTATCTTTATTATTGTTATTATTTGCATCGCCGGCTTTTTTCGACGTTGGTCTCGTAGAAGGTGACAAAGCAAGATTTTGCAATACTCTCGATTTTACTTCCTTCCTGGCTGACCTCGTTCTTTGTTCATTTTTACCAGCTTCTATTTTGTTCATCACAGCGTCCCAGCGCCCGCCTTTTCTGGTCGATCTCTGAGATCGTCTCGCCTCCTTTTCCGCATCGTCTTTCGAGGATGACTCGATCATCGCCTTGATTTTTGAAACAACGTTTCTTTTCGGCATTTTGTATTTTTTCAAAGGCACCGAATCGGCCTTGCTTTGTGCTTTGGGTCTGATGTTTTCATTATTCTCAACCACTTTTCTTTCAACCGTTACTTCGGGAGAGGCCGTTGTATCGTTTGTGCTATTGATTTCGTCCGCCGTCGGTTTTACAGGATTCTATACACAATGTATATTTTAAAAATCAAAAAATCTAGATATAAAATATACAAATTCTTTGTAATAGCTACAGCTCGTCTTTATATTAACGCACCTGTAAATAATCCATGATGACATTTACCGCGACCGGCGAGAGCTGACTCCTCTGAGAAAGTTCAGTATCCGCGGTGTCCGGAGTTTGATCTTCGTTTTCTTCTGGCGCCTGCTCGCCGGGCGCTTGCAGTTTGTCCAGATCCGAGTAAATTCCGCTCGAGTCCATCTCCTCTCCGGTGAAGCTCGGACACACGCGTTCACCCGGCGCGCAGAACAACGTGCCGTCGATTACTTGAGCTTTCCTGTCGCCCCGCACAATCTCCTCGTGCGCGTCGGCGTCGCTTTCAGTAAAAAAGTCAGAATCAGTCATTGGGTCCTGCCGGCAAGGTGCGGGAAGATTGACCGGAGGTACCGCCATAGACGGTGGATCCGCTCCACGACTGGCTGGTCGTGAATTTTCACCGTCTCCCTGATAACCCGCCTCGAGACTGGTTATGCTCGTAACTGATGTGACGAAGCTCACCGGCACGGTATTATTTCTGATCGGTTCCACGGGTTTCGGATCGAGCGGTAGCTCTTCTGGCGATGGCGTTCTTTCGCTGCAAAGAGGATTCTCTTCCGTCGGTTCTACGTCTGCTAAAGGCCTCGTCGATGCGGACGCTCGGGTCAACGCCAATTTCGAACCAGCCGAACCGGTGAGGTTCTCACAGGATGGCGTCCTGGAGCACTCCAACGCGACTGTGAAATCGGTCATCTGGTCCGGGGTCAATATACCAAGACTCTCGTCGTGTTCGAAAGAGTTTTGCTTGTTGAGCATCAAATAGTGCGGCGTTGCGTCATTGTAGTTGCTCAGATTTGCTTCTACGAGACAGTTGTCACTGACGTCCTCGATCATGCTCAGCTGAGACTCCTCGAGTAGCCTATCGTAACGGGAGAATAAAAATTGTAAATTTACTACTTACAAATGTAACATAAGGCATAAATGTCATTTATAAATTTAACGTAAGACGTTATATTGGAAAATATATAAATTCAAACCTGAAAAGACTATTTTTCTCCTCACTAAGTTGAACCAATTGCTGCACGTCATTCTTGTCGATGTCCCACACGGGCGATAACGAGTACGTCTGATCCGCTGCCAAATCGGCTGAAATCGGAATTTAATTTTTACATTTATTAGCTGCATCAAGTGAAAGTACGTACGCATAATACTGTAGTTACAAAAAAAAAAAAAAAATACACAAAAAATGGGTGTTGTTACTTTTGACTTTAGGTGATGACGTCGCAAATCCAGAGAACTTCTCCCGCCGCGTAGGAGACTCGTCCTCGGAGTTAACGAATTGAAAGCATCCCGAGAAGATCGTGGATCGCCGACTTCCCGACAAGAGCCTCGACGCCTCGAGCACTCTCGATTTCGGAAAGAACGACGGTCGAGCTGCCCGTGGAACAGGTATCCGACTCTCCCCTACGTTCTGCAAACAAGAGAACGCACGTGTGAGTGCGCGATTTCTCGAGTCACGCGAGGATCGTCCCGATAGACGAGTGAGTTTCTCCGCCTAGTAAAACTAATCGCTACTTAATTACATACAAGTGGGCGCAGTTCAGTAGTTATATCTTGTTTTTTTTTTTTTTCCTTTTTTTCCTCAAGGTCGGATGGGCATGGCACGAAATGAAGAAGTTCGTTGCCCTTGGCCCATCTCCAAATAATAATAACACGCAATTCTCTCGAAAGATGAATCAGAAGTAACTCTCTAAGTCAGTTGGTTTAATTTAATTTTAGTTCGTGACTATGCTAATATTTCTCTCATGCGCGCCTCTTCTTAAACACGGACGACAGCTGCGATTTTGTGTGACGGTTCGATTTTTTTTTTTTTTTTCTTTTCTTTCTCCCGTCACGTAACCGCCGGTATATGCGCACACGCTACGTAACGCGCTCGGCCGCGGAAACGAACACAATTACAGCTAATTACTAACTTGTCCTTTTTCCAGATCTCTCTCTATACGAGGAGCGTCTACTTAACGTCCGTCGAGACGTATCGTCGATAATTTTATTCTTTTCTTCTCATCGACCCAACACGTTTTTATCGGAACGAACTGTGTGTTATCGTGTTCTGCGAACAATGGAAGATATCATCGATGTTCTTTCCCGATGCGAGAAACGGGATACCGCGTAACCGACGAGTGCGTTCATTCACCGACGATAGAACGTGTTCAACATGTGGACGGAGCTGAGAACTAGGTTACTGCGAACCGCTACGCGGATCGGGCTTGTGTATATATGTATCCTGACCGTAAATCCACCGGAGAATCCTTTTCTCTATTACTGAACCAGAAGTCAATTGTACACATATATATATATATATATATATACACACGCGCAATACAATTTTCAAGCGTAATTTGTTTCGTAAAAATAATACGTAAGAGCATAAACGCGATAACACGGTACCCTAGTTTCGTTTACCACAACAACTCATCAGTTTTTATATATGTACATATGATTTTAGAAGAAAACAACATTCAAGAATATTAATGTCCTTTCTCGCATGCGTATGTATACGTATAACAGGTATGTGTCTAAAAAAAGCTATGAAGTCAGCTCGTTTCTGAACAAACAACCATACAGAAGTGTGTCTTTGTTGTTGTATTTCGTTAGAACCAACAGAAGCAACGCAATTCGAGTGGCAATGTGAGTAATGGGTCAGCAATCATCACGGTCACACACGTCGGTTTCCTTCTGTTCGCGCCTTTCACATCTCCTTAGATTTTATTCGTTCTTATTGAAATTCATTTCCTACTCGGATATATCGAAGATATATACACGCGTACGCCGCGAGACCGCCAGACGCGCGTCGTCAGTATAATGTAATAAAATGCCAAAGGCAAAAAAACCGTCGAGTTAGCGATTGTGAAGAATCGTTTACGATCGTCGTGTTACTTTGATCATCATCGACGTGGAAAGGAAACGTGACTTGAATTAAGAAATCGCGAATAAATTTTGCATGCTGAATGAGGACGGCGCCGGTTGTTGTTATGAGACAACGAGCATTTATATATAAAAGACCAAATCGAGCATAGGTTTTATCCACACTGGCTTAATTCGTGCCAATTTGTGCCTACGCGCGTCCAACAGTCATGGTTTGTTATTTTTGCGAGGCGGGAGACGAGGAAACCGCTTGTTTTAACTGTACGTTACGAGCGCATCCCGTCCCCGCTTCTTGGATCAATTATAATGCAATCTGATTTCAGCAGTATAACTTCACAGCAGTAAAGTTCTGTTGAGAAGAAAACGTTAAGCCTCTTCGTGCGTACGCACGTATCTATCTACTTTCCTGGCCTAAAGGCGATCGGCTAAGAGAGACCTGAATAATAATGGCCTTTTCAACATTCATGAGTTTTTTTTTTTTTTTCCTGTTCAGAGGTAATAGTCTCTCAAGATCGCGTATATCGTGAAATTATTGTGGAATTTTCACGCTGCAATTACTGAATCCACGTGCGTTGTGCAATTACGTTAACGCGCGTTACCAGCGTGACTTGGGTTAACATGGGTTATACATCGGCGACGATGTAACTCCGGCTGTCTCTCTCTCTCTCTCTCTCTCTCTCTCTCTCTCTCTCTGTGCGTACCTCGGCAATTGATTATAATTTCCAATAGAATACATTCCCGCACGTCCGTGGCACGCGTTATTTTACGATCGACCGCGGAGTCGTAGCGAAGCACATCCAACACCGTCCACGAGATCTGATAAGATTAAAAACTCTATACTCGCGAGAGAGACGACAATATATGAAACGACGTTCTTCCGTCATCGATCGAATGTTTCTCGCTGCTTTGCACGTTTTCCCGTACTGTAAATTCGGAGTCACGTTTGGTGACTTATTTACGCGTTAGGATATTAATAACACTTATCTGACATTGCATAAGCGGCGAACTCTCTTATCAATGTCAATGTCAACACACAGCGCATCTCGAACACGGTAAACATGAGGTAAACTTTATCTTGATATATATTGAGTATCCGTGCAATTCATTAATGCGGCGAACTACTACTTAAAAAACAGATGACATTGGTGACGTTCCACTTGGGAGGCGCGCGCGAAAAAATATCGCGTAACCTTCGGTATAGATAAGCTATCGCGAACAATATATATCGTTAACATTCTTTAAATATATCTGTTATTTTCAAAAGATCGACAACCTTTAATCGATCGCACTCGTCGGATACTACTTTGGATATCGTTAAAAAACTCGCAATATAAAATTTAAACGATTAATTTCAACAGACGTGTACACACGCTTACATATGATAATTGTTTAATGAGTCTGGCAAATTACCATATTGAAAAAAAGAAGCCGGGTTGCTCGCTTCGTTCACACGCATCGACGCTCTATATCTCCTCTTCTTTTGCGATTAAAAAAAAAATAAAAATAAAAAAAATAAATAAAAAAAAAACAAACCCAAACATCGCAATAAAGATATTACATATCTTATATATTTTTTACGACAAAACATACGTACCCCGCGTTATCGGCATTTCTTATTACACAGCACTAAATGGATTCTAAATTTTCCACAGAGCACGCACGAGGTACCGCGTGATGACCGACAACGTTTTTTTTTTTTTTTGAAGAAGAAGAAGAAGAAGAAGAAGAAGAAGTGAAGGGAAAAGAAAACGAAAGAAGAGAGAACAAAGAACCGCACGGGAAATCGGGCAACGTAAGCTCATAAAGCATCGGAGGATCGATAACGACTAACGACAGGCCACCGATCGTGTTGCGGTCGACGCGGCGTGTACGCGACAGCAAAACGTTCCGGATTCGCTTTTGCGATCCCCAGCTACACCTGCTGTATACCACCACCTTCGCCGCCGCCGCCGCCACCGCCGCCGCCGCCGCCGTTACTGCTACCAGCGATCGAGAGCGTCCGTCACAAAATGAGCGAACGAGCGTACGAGCGATGGCATGCCGACGCTGACGACGACAATTACTCTATTCCGTCGGACACGCGGCTTTTGCATTCACCAAGCCGTGAATCCGTGGTTAGGTACAACGCGTCGTACCCACCAAGTTGCGTTATTGCGCGCGGTCTCAACGCCGCTCGATACACTCTATTGCTTCACGAGTACAATTTTGTCGTATTTTAGAAATATATATGACATTATTCTGACATTATTTACAATATTTTGTTTAATTGTTATTATGGAAATAACATCAGGAAATATGTGTTTTCGGCATCTCGGCGCGAGACGTAAAAAGCATGCTTACATGTATCGTATACATATCTATCTCGTTCGATACAGTTGTAATTATGCATGAGTATACAGTCTATATATACAGTTCGGAACGTTTCGAGTATTCTATCTCTTTGTGCGCTCTTGACATATATATTTAAGAGAGACAGAGAAGAACGGAAGATTGATGATAATGTTTCGAATTTCAAGTTTTTCACAAAAATCCATTCTTTCAAAAATATAAATTTCTAAACTGTTTTTCTTCTTTTTCTCTCTTTTTTTTCTTTTCTGAAAAAGTTTCATTTATTTTGATAATATTACTTATTTTGATTATTTGTTCTTGTTGAACAAAGCATTCGGCACGACACGGCGGAAAATCGCTTATGCGTGCCATATCGTGCGTATTCGCGCGTGTAGTAAGTGGAACACTGGGAAATTCGCCAATGTCCAGATTATACATCCGCGTCTGCGCGGTCGTAGCAGAGAACGTGTTCTAAATTATGTAAAAGTGGCATCATACTTCGTTCGTGCACACACATGTCGCGGTTTATTTCTGAATATTATCATCCGCTATGTTTTCCCTGAAAAACGATAATCTAAGATTTGGAACACATTCTTGTTATCTCTTCCACACGAACGGAATAATATTGTAAAACCCCACGTAATCACGAAAATCCAAAGAAATATATTTTACCACTGACACGTAATCACAAACGTTTCGAATTTCGATCTTAACAAAAAACATTAACACGAAAATTACAAATTAGTGATTTTCTCAACAGGTTGTTTGTTGCGATCGTCCGCAACGCGATGCAAATTGCAAATAAAATTCTAAACAAATGCGAGTCGAATCACATAATGTTGTTTTTCGTTTCCTCCTATTTACATGTATACGTATTACTTAGACGCTTTTTTTTGTGCAGTTATTCTCTTCTTTTCTCCTTCTATTCTTCGTGCAAATTCACGAATACGAAGTACACTTTGTCGATGTTATTTGTAATAACTTTATAAATTATTCATTCAACAATTGCCGGTACACATTCGGTTATTAGGCGGATAAAGTGTGAACACGAAATACGCAATATCGCGTGTTATGATTCGACATGAACAGCTATCGTGGTCGTTATCGTCGAATTGGACGTATTCCGGATCTTGGTTGTCGAAGTAATTTGATTCGCGTGGCTTGGACGAAGTGTTTTGTGTTATTTTTTTCCGTCCGGGGGTGCTTACCTTGGCCATGTCGTGGGTGGGACCTCGACGACTCTACACTCGATTCTTCACTTTGAAACCTTTGTTCGTGTCTCGTAGGACAATATATAAACGTGTCTCAGATCACATCCCCGTTCTCGTTGCGCTGCGCGCGAATTCGTTTTGCAATCGCGTTATACGTTCTTGACAACTTTCGCGGATAACGCGCGACGCCCCGCGTCGCGTCGCCTCGCGTCGCTCCAGTCGATCCTTCGCAAGCGCGACACCGCTCCCGACGTCGACGACGACAATGTTATTGATCGACGCCGCGCGGAGGCGTCGCTGTTCGTCGCTGTATCGCGGCGGAGAGTAGGGGATGGAATCACCACCGTCGTCGATCGGGACAGTGGTGGAGGCGCCATCGAAATATTCTCGCGAATGTCCGAAGGGGGGTCGTTGGAAGGGATAAAAGCAGGCAAACGAATCAACGCGGCTCGATTAACACACGGATGTTACGTGTAGCGAACGTGTTGTCGGTAACCGATGCTTTGAAGGATTTTAAAATGTTTTTACGTCGATTCTCACGAAGACACGCAAAGTCTCAATGTTTGTAAATAGTTTTTTTTTATTTTTAAGTCAATATTTCACAGATCCGACCGTTCGGATTGCTGAATAATCGAGATTGGTTGACTCTCAACGTACATAAGTAGGAGACTAGTATAGTGTACATACACATATGTGTGTACATGAAGTAATGACCTTTCAGCAACAACATTAAATCTTACAATTAACAGATAGTAACGAGAGAAGGTATCTTTGTTGAGAAAGAAAATTGCTCTTAGCGTGAAATGTTGGGAAGATAACATCAAAAACTTATAAGTCGTACATGTTGATTATATAATTTTATATTGCATTGCTTTTTTTGTATCTCACGATGTTATAATGCAATCAACTAAAGATAGCGCGATGTTGTTACATCACATATGGCTAATAATTTATGGTTCAATTATAATTAATATGATAAACAACATGATGTAAAAAAACTTAAAAGTATATATATTTAAAAATAATTATTTTACAGGCGCGAAAATATTAAATATTCTTTGAATTATAAAAATAATATTATCACAGACATGAGTTTTTCTTTCTTACATTTAGATTGACAACACATGTTTTTTAATAAAATTTTCTTCCGCACTTTAATCGATAAGCTTGAAGATACCAACAATAAGATGACTATCCGTATCAATTTTTTTTTTTTTTTTTTTTTTTTTATTTTAGGACAGTTGCAATTTTTAACTTTCCATTTCGATTATTTTTCCCGTCCGATTTTGGTCAATGTGTCCCAATATGTTCCAAATTGAAATTTTCTCTTATCACAAGAAAATTTTCGAACGTCAAAGAATAAGTTGGTAATATTCTCATTGATATCGTTAACGCTTTAAGTTAGCTTGAAGTAAATGCACAAAAGTTTCTATGATTTTTGCATTAATATTTTTGCATTATGTTTTATTTTGAAAATAGTTTCACATAGATTTTGAACTTTTTGTGCAAAACGAAAAAAGTCTGTAAATGTACAATTCTACATGAGTTTAAAACGCAAAGCAAGGTTCTTCCCACTTTAATTTATATTTTATTTTACAGAAATGTAACAATCAAGTTTTTCACTTTGCGCGGCTTTTTGATATCATTTATTTTGTAGAATAATTTTTGTGCAGAAAAAGTATACTTTTTTTTTGTATAGTATAGGAATAATATTTCTAGAATTCTATATAACATACATTTCGTTAGAAAAAAATAAGAGATTGGTTTTGGAGAAGTAATTGTTTTTTATATAAAAATACAAATGGCGCGTATACTTTACTTTTTTTACTTTTTCTTGAAAAGATAAGATTTTTAGAATGTCACGCTTTTTCTTAGTATTAATTATATGAACATGTGTGTGTATAGGCGTGAGAAAGTGGATATGCATATTATATATTATCATGTGAAAAAAATGTAATAATTGAAGATATAAAGTAGTAAATTATGTTAAGCATTTTGTAATATATATGACATTTAATATTTACAAATTTATTTTCCAAATACATTTTGTATATTTTAAATTATTTACATTTATTTACATTTTTTAAAGCAAAATAACAATAACATTTTTGCAGAAATTGACTCTTTTTGATGTTATTTAAGTGTTAAGTACTTGTACATATACGTATAATACGTATATAATTTTATTTTTTATAGTTTTTCTAAATTTGTTTATTAGATTTTATTTTGCATATAAACAAATTTGCTTGTTTTCTTATTTCTTTCATCTAATAGACTAGAAAGAAAACAAGACAAAAGATGAAGTGAGAGAAAAGTTTAAATGTTGTGTGTTATCGGAATCAACTTACATTGTTGCGCATGCGTGCTGTTAATGATATTGTAGTGTCAGAATAGTTCTTCCGCTATTAGATGTTGTATAGGCTGCGGTCCGTTTCATACTTAATCGCGCATTTATCTGTAGAATATGTCACGTATATTATAGATAAATGTGCGTTTAAGCATGAAACCGCAGCCATACATGCACTGTGTAATGTCACAGCCTCACGTGACCGGCTTTGGCATACACCAGCATACACGTATCAAAAGGTGCGTTTGTTTTCGGCGTTTACGCGCTGTGTAAGCGTCTATCTTTATATTCTACATTTAAAGAACAATAAAAACGAACTGGGCCTTAATTCTTGAAAAACTTTCGTATACGAAACTCTACTGTTAATGTTACATGTACTATTAAGTGCCTTCTACAATAAGATATTAGTAATAAATCAGAAGTCAGAAGCAAGAAATATTGACTAAGCACAATCGATTATTCTTCTGTGATTTGACTGTGATTGGTCAATTTCTTGCTTCTGACTTCTGATTTATCACTAATATCTAATTGTAGAAGGCCCTATAGACTTTCGTATGCGCAAAATTATTCAAGAATCGAGGTCCTGATGTTTAAAACGTGTAACGATCGAAGCACAGACTTTTGCATAATGTTTAATGCATAAAACATAAGAGAATCAACCAATCAAAGCCTTCTATATAAAATGAGAAGTAGACAGGGATGAAAATGAAAAGCTGGATTGGTTGATTTTCTTATGTTTTAGGGTAAAAGACCCAATTACTGTCACCTGAATAATAAACTCTGGCGTTAGCGAATTGTATTTACTATTTATTTATCAAAAACATGTGTTTTTCTTCTTATCTGGTATTACTCAATGTCTCTAATATAAGAAACAAAATAATACCTCCTCTCAAAATCTCTATTTTTATTTATAAATTTAATAATTAAAAAAGAACGATGCGAGAGCTATTACTGTCACCCCTAAAATGAAAGAAATGAGAAAAGAATATTGAGTGCTGGATTATTTGTTATATTAATTGCAATTAAAATTCTATGTTAGATTTTTTTTATGCATAACTTTTTAGGATTTATTTAATATTTTAAATAAAATAGCTTAGGGTGACAGTAATTGGACAGGTGACAGTAATTAGAGTCTTTTACCCTATATGTTATGCATTATGCAAAAGTCTGTGTGATTCGGCCCTAAAGCCTTTTGCACAATGCAAAGAAATAGCGATAGCGATAGGAATAACATCGGCTTTATAGGGTTTATATTTATAAATAACAGTCCTTAAGCCCCTTGCACAATGGACGGAATAGCGATAGTGATAGAAATAACACCAGTTTTAAGCCCCTTGCACAATAGAAGGAATAGCGATAGCGATAGAAATAACACAGTTTTTAACACAGAATTTCAACTCGTCGGAAATTTTATCGCTATTACTTATTCCGATTTTCTGATCTGCATTGATACATGTGTATTTTTGTATGTTAAATTCCGCTGTTCCTACCTTTATTTTTAAATATAAACTCTTTAAAACTTTTGTTATTTCTATCGCTATCGCTATTCCGTCCATTGTGCAAGAGGCTTTAAAAAGTTTATATTCATAAATAACGGTAGGAACAGCAGAATCTAACATACAAAAATACACATGTATCAATACAGATCAGAAAACGGAATAAGCAATAGCGATAAAATTTCTGACAAATTGGAATTCTTTATCTATTGCTTATCGCTATCGCTATTCTCTCGCATTGTGCAAGAGGTTTTATAAATATATTTATAAAAGAACAGCGGAATCTAACATTCGAAAATACACATGTATCAATGTAGATCAGAAAACGGAATAGGCAATAGCGATAAAATTTCTGACGAATTGGAATTCTTTGTCCATTGTTTATCGCTATAGCTATTCTCTCGCATTGTGGAAGGGGCTTAAGCGTCCAAAGCGAACGCGCTCAAATTATGTGTACATGTAGTTTTTGCATTTCACAATTCTTTCCTGGAACCTAACGGTACCTTAAATCTTCCGAAATACACACGTTACTGCAGTACCGTGCAGCACAGTACCGAGGTACGTTCCAAAATCTTACCTTGGTAACCGAAAACTATAGTACACGTGACGTAAAATATAGCATTTTAGTAACCAAGGTAGGATTTTGGAACGTACCTCTGTGCGAGTTACGTGAATGCTACTGGCTTACATTGGTGACTGCTGCACAATGCGTACTCGTGTGTAAAGATTGTTTATATTGTCAACAGTGCGTTATCTCGTATTTAAACAACATTGGCTGACAAATGTTGAGGTTATAACAAGAATCGCCGCGTCATGTATCGTGCCGTTCTTCGTCGGCGAAATTTGTGTGATCGCGACGATTAAAAAAATGCGCGCAACAACAAGTGGATTACAAAATCGCGTTGTGACGGTAGATCGGTCGTTAATTGCAAATCGCTAATTTGCAATGCACAAGAAGATGAGCGTGCGTACGCAAAGAGTGTTCCTATGCCTGTTAATAGTCGGCGTTCTTTATTTCGCCCAGATGTGCATCTGGCCCGTGAATAAGTCTGAGCACAAGAGCGATGTGTCCCTGAAACAGCTTCTCGCCGGCGCGATAAAAGCGGCCGAGATTGGCGGGTTTGAGGTAATGGCAGTCCATAATCAGGTTCAATTCAAAATCGAAAGCAAAGGTCAAACAAAGGAAGGTAATGCTGTTTTATCAGATTTATATGTGTATATTGTTAAATACTTTCTGCATAATATAATTTGGCATCTTTCCTTTGCGTATTATATTGTGTTAATCAATATTTAAATGCATTTTTATTCCAAGTTTTCATTCCTTTGAACTAACAATGCTTCTGAAGAGATTGAAATAATTAACAGTATTTTATTTTCTTTTCTTTCGCAGGTGTAAATGATCCGGTAACGGCAGCAGATTACAGATCCCATTGTGTTATGTATGGTTCTTTAACAAAAGCATTCCCAGGAATTACTGTGATATCCGAGGAAACTTCACAAGATTGCGATAAGATTGTAATAGAAGATATAAAGAATTCTCTTAAAAGTATAAACGATTATGATTTAAACGACGAAATTGTAGACATTAAAGATGTTACAATTTGGATAGATCCTCTTGATGCTACCAAAGAATTCACAGGTACTGACGTAAATGTGTATATTTAGGCTGCGTTCGGGGAGCACGCTATCAGCGCTATTGCGTCATTCTATCTTTGTTTTACATCTAATGAGCAATAAAGATAGAATGATGCAACAGCGCTGATAGCGCTCTCCTCGAACGCAGCCTTAGTGTATCATTTATATATTTCAATGTTTTTTGTTATATAAAAATATTTTGCAAGTTAAAAGAATTTATTTTTTTTACAATAAATTTTAACGTACATTATTTTCTCACTTATCTTTAGAGAATTTGTTACATTATGTGTCTACTATGGTATGCATAGCTGTTAAGGAAAAACCAGTTATTGGTGTTATATACAAACCATTTGAGACAAGCCAACACAATTTATACTGGGGATGGATTAATCACGGTACATCGAGAAATTTGAAAAATTTGACCAAGGTGAAATATCAAATCCAATAAGTATGCTTGAAAAAAATTATTGATATAATAAATTCTGAAATACATTTCTTAATTGTTCGATATATAGACAAAAAAAGACAATGAAAAACCTGTTTTGATTGTATCTCGTTCACATGCCGGACAAGTAAAGAATACATCTAGAATCGCCTTTGGCAATAATGTGGAGATTATTTCTGCAGCTGGTGCAGGTAAAACAAAATTTTTTGTTTTAATAATACATAACTTCAACATGATTTTGTTATATGATGATAATCTGGTAATTTTTCAGGATATAAATTTTTAGAGGTAGCTGTTGGTAATGTAACGGCATATATTCATACAACCGATATTAAAAAATGGGACATATGTGCAGGCACAGCAATTCTTGGGTAATATTTATTTAAATTCACTTAATTAAAAACATATTTAACAAACTTTTTGTATAGTCTTATATATTTTCTGCTTTTTGATACAGGGCTTTAAAAGGAACAGTAACACAATTATATGAGCAAGAACCGATCTATTTTGGAGCAAAGGATCCCAAAGTACTTACAAAAGGTCTCTTTGCAATTATGAATTAGCTTTAAATGACTGTACATGTATGATATAAGACTTCTTACAATTATTTCTATCTGATCTTCCGTAATCAAAATCAAAGTTTGTATATAAAATTTTATCTATATAAGAAAATAAGACTAAAGATTTGTCTATTTTAATTGATAAAAACATTGTTTTATAGTTTTATGTAAAAAAGTGACGTATCCTCTAACAATGGTATCATCTTGTCAAGTATTTCTTCTAAAAAAAAATATTTCTCATATGTATAAAAATAAATTTTTAAGCCTTTGTATTTATACCATTGAATAAGTCAATTAATTCGAAATACTCGAATGTGAATCTTTTTCTATAATTGAAGTTTTAAATTTTCTGTAATTGTGAATGCAAGCTTTAACATAAATGACAGATAAACATTTAATACAAATTAATGTTATTGACAAATTACTTTATTGCTGATAACCTTTGATATGTAACTACACAGTTACATAAAATGTTTATTTATCACATTGTTTACTTTTCATTTTCTGATTTTAGTTTTGAACTTAATACTCATTAAAAAAAATTCTTAATACTCATTTAAAAAAATAATCAAGTAATAATATCTGATTGTGTATAATTAATTAGGTAATTGTACAGTTTCTTCTGAGACAATAACTGCAGATGTTTTCTTCAGTTTTTTCAGTGCTTTGTTAAATTTAGCAACAGTTTTCTCACGTTCTTCATCAGTTAGCTCATATGTATTTTCATTTAAAGTAGAAATATAATGTATATATTTCTTAATAGTCTTGCTTTGTAATTTTTTTAAAGATATCTTACTCCTAGCTTGTACAATGTCTACAATAATCTTTTTCCAGTCAAAAGGAACGTTATCACTTTCATCTTTAGTTTCTTTTACATTAAATGCTTTTGAAACCTTTGCAGCAGGTTGATTATCTTCAGACTGAACATCAGTTGGTTTCAATCTTCTTTTTTTCGATTTTTTTTGCTGCTTTTCACATATTCCGTTGTCAGTAGCTTTATATTCTTTATTGTTTCCATTTTGATAAATCACAGAATTTTTCTCCTTGCTTATATTTTCATTGTTTTCGTTCTCGATAACATTTTCCTGGTTAGCTAATGAAGTATCAGAATTTGTATTCTGAGTTAATGTCATTTCTCCTGTTAAAAACAATTATTAAAAATTATTAAAAATAACCAAGAAAGGGGGGGCAACGGTAGTGCCTCGCGCCAAGTTCACACGCAACAAAGTGGCGCTCGAACTGCGCGAGCACACCGTGCCTCTTATACGCGAAATTTCAGGTTATATAAATATAAATTTTAAAACGGCTTTAAAATATTAATTTAAATAAATAAAGCAACTAAAATATACAGGATCAATGTTGATATTTCTTTCTGTTCAACAAAGAAGTTTATTAAACAATGACAAAACGCAATTAAAAACTCACCATTATCTTGTTTTTGAGACTGTTTTTGTCTCGATTGAGTCTGTTTAATAGGCTGTTGGTTTTGTTTATATGCAGTCTCCATTTTGTCCCAGACGCTATCTACAACTGACATATTTAAGCGACTGCCTATTGCATTTCGTATAAAGTTAAGAAATTTAGCTTTCTTTCTTGGTATGTTTTCATAGTTTGATAAAGTGTTGAGAAAATTTTTTTCTGCATTAGATAATTCTGTTGATCCATTCAGCAAATTGTTAACAACACACAACCATTCCTGCTGTTTGCGTTCACCTTTATTTGCACTAGCTTTTGGAACATAATCTTTTCCACCGTAACGTTCTGCTTCGCTTATGCACTTAGTATGTGCAACATATTCTTCACCTCTTAAAAATTATTAACAATGTATACAATATATCTTACCACATATTCATACATATTTTCTGATTTCTATATTACACACATTACCATTATTATATTATACAATACATATTTAGCATGCTTATATATAGCACTCATGTATATATTATTATTCTTACCGAAAATCTTTTAAGCAGTCTACGCACGTTAAAAAAATTGCGCTTCGGCATTTGAACTGATAATGTTTTGCCACCGCCGGTTTTTGCACCGAATCACCACAATTAGCGCAAGTAAAGACAACCATAGTACGCTTTTGCTTATATATTTATGTTTTAAAGTATTATTCACAAGAATAGCTAATAGAAATGAATATAATTTAGAATTGTTTGTTTTTTCAACACGTTAATTTAACTTTATAAAGCATATACTTTTCTCGCAAAAACGTGGTTGAGAAAGGACGTCGCCATATTAAATGCAACGCTAGCACCTAGCACCTCTAGAGCTGCATTCCGTTTCACACATATAGGTCTGTTCTTTTTCCATACTTCGGCTGCACTAGTTCACAGTCTATCTTTTTCCTTTTAATATAGATAAAAAAAAGATAGACTGTGAACTAGTGCAGCCAAAGTATAGAAAAAGAACAGACCTATATGTGCACATGCGTGAAACGGAACGCACTCCTTATTTCTTATGGCTAGTCTACAATGAAGATAGTAAAGCCTCTTGCACAATGGATGGAATAGCGATAGCGATAGAAATAACAAAAGTTTTAAAGAGTTTATATTTAAAAATAAAGGTAGGAACAGCGGAATCTAACATACAAAACTACACATGTATCAATGCAGATCAGAAAATCGGAATAAGCAATAGCAATAAAATTTCCGACGAGTTGGAATTCTGTGTTAAAAACTGTGTTATTTCTATCGCTATCGCTATTCCTTTCATTGTGCAAGGGGCTTAAGGCTGTAGGAGTAGAGAGTAAACTATTTTTCGGTAAAGAAACGACGGGAATAACGAAATGTGCAATTCCCATTTCGCACTGCCTACTGCCTTACTGTTAGCCAATAAAAGACGCGTGTCAAAAAACGCGAAATAATACTTATATAGACAAAAATTGATCTGCATTGATACATGTGTATTTTTGTATGTTAAATTCCGCTGTTCCTACCGTTATTTATAAATGTAAACTCTTTAAAACTAGTGTTATTTCTACGAGGTGTGATCAAAAAGTAAGGTGACTCTTTGAATTTTGCGCGCTCTGTACACTCTAATTTCAAAATTTTTGTTGTTGTTGTGTTGGTACACTCGTCACGATCATATGTTCACAGTTTTGACTATATAGCATGTGTTGTTTTTATGTGAGAGGCATAAAGATTAGAATCGTGTTTGCGTGCTCGGCGATTTTTTGCTGTTAAAAATAATGGAGCAGAGAGTTTGTATTAATTTTTGTGTAAAAAATGGTATTAAGTGTTCAAAAACTTTTGAAATGTTGACAGTGGCGCACGGTGAGTCAACTTTGAGCAAAAAAAATGTTTATAAATGGTATAAGTTATTCCAAGAGGGCCGAGAAAATGTTGACGATGAACCTCGCTCTGGACGCCCCAGCACGTCAAAAATCGACGAAAATGTTCAGAAAGTGAAAGAAATTGTGTTGAAAAATCGTCGAATNACGATTAGAGAAGTAGCTGATGATCTTAACATATCGTTTGGCTCATGCCAATCAATTTTAACGGATGTTTTGGGTATGACACGTGTGTCAGGGAAATTCGTCCCAAAACTGCTTAATTTTGATCAGAAGCAGCATCGCATGAACATCGCCCAGGACATGTTGAACGACGTCAATAATGATCCTGATCTGCTCAAAAGGGTTATAACTGGTGACGAATCATGGGTATATGGTTATGACGTCGAAACCAAAGCCCAATCATCCTCAGGAGAGCCAAGACCGAAAAAGGCACGCCAAGTTCGTTCAAATGTGAAGGTTTTGCTCACAGTTTTCTTTGATTACCATGGCGTTGTGCATCAAGAATTCCTACCACAAGGTCGTACGGTAAACAAGGAGTATTACCTTGAGGTTATGCGGCGTTTGCGTGAATCAATAAGAAAAAAACGGCCGGAAGTGTGGAAAGAAAATTCATGGATTTTGCACTATGATAATGTACCTGCGCACACGTCGTTACTAGTGAGTAGTTTTTTGACCACAAACAATACTACCATCATGCCTCAGCCACCGTATTCACCAGACTTGGCCCCCTGCGACTTTTTCCTCTTCCCAAAATTGAAAAGGTCCATGAAAGGACGAAGATTTGCGACGATTGAGGAGATTAAGGCTGCATCGCTGGAGGAGCTCAAGGCAATACCCAAAANTGCATTTCAGAAGTGTTTTGACGACTGGAAAAAGCGCTGGCACAAGTGCATTGTATCAGANGNNGATTATTTTGAAGNGGATAACATAATTTTGNATAAATAAATAAATATTTTTTTATAAAAATAAAAAGTCACCTTATTTTTTGATCACACCTCGTATCGTTATCGCTATTCCGTCCATTGTGCAAGGGGCTTTACTTCTTACTCTATACTACCTACTCCCATTGTAGACGGCCCTTTATACCATGGAACATAGTATACTCGGTTCAATGAGAGAATAGGATACTATTCGCGCAAAGGGAAGGAAATGCGGTCAGTCAAAGTGAAGATACCGCCCAGCCGCTACTCAATACCGTAAACATAGATACAATACGTTCAGGCCCAAATTTAGATTTCAGTGAATGAAATAGGCATCCGTTGAAGACTGTGTACGAGCGGTACAGCACTGTAGAGTGGGGGGTTTTCTGGCGGGAGAGATGCGCAGAACGAACGTATTTTCGTTCATAGATGTCCTTAGCTGCGTTCTGATATTCACTGCCAGTACTGAAAATCTATAGCATATGTGACGTGAAGTATAGATTTTTAGTACTGGCAGTGAATATCGGAACACAGTCCTATTCTCTCCATAGAGCTTCTCTCGTTGAACCGAGTTTACAGGGTGTCCGACAATTACTTTAGCATCTCTCGTAAGCAGGTAGGAGTAAAACCGAGTCGAAAAGTCCTGAACCATTTTTTTCTATTACATATAAAGTCCTGAACCATTTTTTTCTATACATATATATTCTATAATAAAGAAGTAATTATTGAATAAATCAAGCCAATCAGCGCCAACCTTTAGCCGAACGCATGTCAGTGAACCACGCACCCGGTGTGCGTGAGCGCTCCGCGCACTGACGTGCGCCGCCCGGCTAAATTTTTTTTAAAGTTTACTAATATAAATAAATGAAGGATCTTTTTCTATGAAATTTTTGTATAAAACATTTTTTAATATCTCTAATAATTTTCAAGATATCTTGAGAAAAGTGAAAAGCCGCTTTACATATAAAGGGTGATTTTATCCCTTAAAACCGTTTTTGAGCAGCAACGGAAAATGTCAATATTCATTTATTGACCCTCCTTACATGTGTGCAAAGTTTCATCAAAATCAGAAGTTTCGATTTCGCGAGGTTCTCTTGTGAAAGATTTAAAAATAATCGATTAAAGAATTTCTTCAGGCTCTGAAGTTTCTAAACTAATAAATATATATATTCGGTCATAGGAGCCGTTCGCTAGGTGTTGTGCGGAAATTATATGTGTATATATATCCATATATATACGTGTTCACATGTAAATTTTTTTACACGTGAAATTCGAATTGAAATAACAATTCTAAAATTCATATTGGATGCTATACTTGCATCTCGTATATGAGAAATCCCAAATACCCCCCTAATTGAGAAATTAAATTTATATTGCGAAAAAAACTCCTCGGCCAGGGGTCGAACCTGGAATCTCCGGCTTTCCGTGCCGTCGCCTTTCCTATTCGGCCGAATAGGAGTTTTTTTCGCAATATAAATGTAATTTCAATTAGGGGGGTATTTGGGATTTCTCATATACGAGATGCAAGTATAGCATCCNATATGAATTTTAGAATTGTTATTTCAATTCGAATTTCACGTGTAAAAAAAATTTACATGTGAACACGTATATATATGGATATATATACACATATAATTTCCGCACAACACCTAGCGAACGGCTCCTATGACCGAATATATGTATATATTTATTAGTTTAAAATAATCGATATTTTCCGAAATTCAACTGCCAATTGAATTCAACCGATTTTCATCTGTTCAGACATCGAATTAAATCGACGTTATATTTCTGATTTGACTGGATACATGTACGTGCCGTTATAGTTTGTCGAAACCGAAGTAATCATATTTGACGCAAACACAACACAATATAAATAAAATAATTATAATAAAACAGAAAATAAAAAAAATAATCGTTTCTGTCCAATTTTGTCACAAATTATTTAACAGTCAAAGACAATAACTCTTTACTTTATGAATCTTTTATGATTTTTTAAGATCACTAATTTTAATTTTAATTTACATTTTAACTACTTGTTTGTCATATCTACAATGTAGATTTAAAAGTTTGTGATATTGAATTTGTTAATTTGAATTTCGTAAGAGTTTGGAGTCACTAAGTTTAAATCTAATGTCAGACTTATAAAATCAATGACTTCTAACCTTTTGATAGAAATGTAAATAAAAGTAGTAAAAAAAGTAAATTAATACAAAGCAATAAAGTACTTATTTTGCAATTTTTTTCGTAAACATCTACACATTTCTTTCTAGCTTCTTTTATAATAAAACTCTTGGATATTTATTGCGGAATTATGACATCTATATACTAAGAAGCATATTTTACAGTATTGTTCATCATAAAAGAATATATTTATAACATTTTCCTTATCAGAAAAACCCAGTTTCTATAATAGTTTCTTAACCGTATATATTTGCCAAAAAAAAACGTTTTATAACAATTTTTTAAGAGACAGTTTAATTCATGAGAGACAGAATGTTAATAGCCGGTTCGATAAAACATTACGAAAAAAAACACGTATAAAACGTTTTTGTAACATGTGCTACCTGAGTATTTCTTTAGATTATCTATACTGTTATCGGCGGCCCCCCTTCCCGACTCTTGGTTATATAATATAATCTCTTAAAATTACTTTAGACCCGGTAAAAAATTTTCCATGTATAAAATTGTATGGACATATTCGGCACACACACATATAAATTTGTATAATTAGATATAATAATTTTAATTTGTGTATAAATATATGTATATGATTATATATCAAAACTTTTTTAAAAATATAGTAAAAATATAGTTTTATATAATTTTTTTGTATCTAATATAATACTAATAGAGTTATTTTGTAATTTAATATGGAATATCTCAAAAGCCATTCTCTTAAAAAAAGAAATTCTTCGTGTATAAAATTGTATGGACATATTCGGCACACACATATAAATTTGCATAATTAGATATAATAATTTTAATTTGTGTATAAGTTTATATGAAAAATTTTTTACCGGGGAAGTTTTATCTAAATGTGTTTATCTAAACAACCAAATGACAGAAAACCAAAAAACATTCAAAAATACAATATTTGCTTACAATTTTTTTTATTTTTCGATTTAATAATAACTTCGGAAATTATTATGTAAAGATTAAGAAAAATACGATAAAAAATCATTAAGTATATAAAGTGTATATGAGTATTAAAATAAAACGCGAAGTAAAACATATAACCTACAAAATTATATTAAATAAATTATATTAAATAAAAGCACTCTTTTAGAGAACTAGGTAAAACTATTTATAAAAAGAATAAAGTTCAAACATTTCATGAAGAAATTTGGTTATCTAGTTTTGCAAACATGTTTTATTCTTTTTATAAATATATTTAATTTACCTAGTTCTAAAAGAGTGCTTTTATTTAATATAATTTATTTAATATAATTTTGTAGGTTATATGTTTTACTTCGCGTATTTTAATACTCATATACATTTTATATACTTCATGATTATAATATCAGTTTTGGAGCTGCGTTCTGATTTTTTATTTCAAATTCATTAATACATATATGTGTACGTATGTGTACATATATATGAACAGATTCATTTGTGCGGAACATAAAAATAAGATATAAAATATATAAGAACAAATATTTACAATTTTAATTTCTGTTTTGTTTGGTTTTTTATTTATTCGTCTTGATAAACACTATATATATTAATCAGTAATTATTAATTATTGTATGCAGAAATTATTAAATACTGTTTATCGGTTATTTTTCTGCATTGATTTTATGTTAACTCATTTTCTTTGCTGATAAACCTTCAGTAGCAAAAACTGCGCCACCATTATCAAAATATATTTACCAACATTACCAGTATATGATTAAACGTGTGTACAACGAATGCTTATCTGTCATTTAGCAAACCTTATAAAATAGGATATAAAATAGAAATCTAAAATTATCTTTGCGTTTAGTGATAAAAAAGAAAACTTGTTACACGTTGTATAGTATAGAGACAATTTGTTTCCTCGCTAATTTATTTAAATCAATTACTTACCAGACGCGCTATTACAAAACACACAATTCATTATCCGCGGCAATAAAAAGTAACTTCTCCTTCTCTTCGGCTTTTTGCATTATTTTCGTCCAGCCGGCTTGTCGGGAGTTAATAAAACGTACCGGTACGAAGAGTTTGGCACAGTAGGTGGAGAAAACCGTGCTCGATACAATATATCATACGTATACAACATATACAACATATTATAATGTATAATATATAACATATTGTAACGTTGTATAATCGTAATACTACACATTTGGAAAATATTACTATATTTTACTAATATTCTAATGTTGCAGTTGCTGTAGTGTAACGATGAATACTTTTGTTTGAATCAGGTTTTAGAAAGAAATTTTTAGCGCTCGATTAAGAATTTTATAAATTGTTGTTAAGTGAGTACTGTGTTTCATAAAAATAATTGTATTTTTCTTTTTTTTTCTTTTATATCTATTTTTCTTTTTTTTCTTTTTTTTTGTGTATTTGTCTCTACTATTTTTACATATTGCGTGCTATTTCGTTTCTAGAACTCATTGATTAATTCTCGTATTATTTAGATCTGTGCAACATGACATCAAAATCTGTATTGTCCGAAATAAAAGCTGAAGAGACTATGAGCGATTTGGGAAAAGAATCACCAAAACAATATAAATGGAATATTGTGTGGACAAGTGTTATTAAACAAGTGTACATTCACGCTATCGCTCTTTACGGGCTTCTTTGTTTTTCTCTACTACAATATTGGACAATTCTCTGGAGTATGTATTATTATTTTGTTTTTTTTTATATTCCCACATATACAGTATATTTCCTTTAACTTGATTATTTAAAATATCTTTGGTGTTTGTAATAATATGAAAAAATACCAAAATGAAAAGTTGCTCGATTCGAAGGAGCAAATATTATGATATGCAAAACATTTTTCTCAAAGTCATATTTTTTATAATCTCATGGTCATTGCTACTTGTTTAAATGGGATGGCATAGTTTCACCACCTTTTAGTGATGTAGTTCAAAAAGAACAAATCATAATATGTGCTCCTCCAAATCGAACAACTTTTCTATTTGGTATTTTTTCGCATCATTACAAACAACAAAGATAATTTAAATAATCGTGTGAGAAGAAACACCTTGTATAAAATATAATAGAAATGACAAAAGGAAATTGTAACGTTCGTGTAAAGATTATATCGATATACAACTAGTTACACTTCCTAAATGTTGAATACAGATTTACATATACATTAATGATAAATAATAGTAATGATAAATGATAGATATTAAAGTCATTAAATAAGTAATGAGTTTTTTCTTAATATCACTGTGTGAAAATGTATAATTCATGTACCGTTTTTTATTTGTGTATAAATAAAATTTACTCACTATTGAATTCAACTATGTTATTGCGTCACAATCACAACATACAGTGTACATTATGCAATCACTCTCATCGTTATACCATTTCTTTTTTTGTATATTAAGAAAGTCACGCGCGCGACGATATAAATATATGATATTTTATTTATTGATTATCATTTTTAGCTTTTATCATTGGTACAGCATCGCTTATTGGTTTTACCGCTGGGGCTCATAGATTATGGAGTCATCGCACTTACAAAGCAAAATGGCAATTGCGACTGTTGCTGATGGGTCTTCAAACCATTGCTTTTCAAGTAAGTTTCACGGCACATACGTCTTCTCTTATTTTTTTAAATTTATTACTTATTTTTATGTCTTGTGAAAATCAATGTTTCCTTAATTCTATATCATATTTTAAATGCCGTTGAACTACAAGAGAACTACTCTCCCTTACGGAAAAAACGTTCAACTCTTAACCGTAATGTACGAAATCACGTTCAACTTGATCGTAAACGTTCAAAATTGAACGTATAACGCTGAATATTGAAAGTTTATGGTCAAGAGATGAACGTTTTTTTCCGTAAGGGTTGCGTACCTTAATAATAAATCACATTAATTATATTTAGTTTGACTAATTATTTATTTAAACATCTTTAATAGATGTACAGAATATTGCGAGACAAACTCCAAGTGCCTCGGTAGCCTAACAGGGAAGGCGACGGCCCGGAAAGCCGGAGATTCCAGGTTCGACTTCTGGCTGAGGAGTTTTTTTCGCAATATTTTAAATTAATTTAGGGAGGTATCCGGGGTATCCTTCATATACGAGACGCAAATCTAGCATCCTATATGATTCAAATGAATTGAAATTACAATTCAAAACCTCACATAAAAATGTGAATTTGTTTATATATATACATACGTGTATATATATATATAGACATATTTGTATATATATAGACATATCTTCCGCACAACATCCAGCGAACGGCTCTACACGACCAATTATATTCATCGACTAAGTTTAAAAAGACTCAAGAACCCGAGATGATTCTCAGTTTAATACTAATTGTTTAATTATTTATTTTTGAGGGTTCGATTTACGACTGGTCCAGAGATCATCGTTCACATCACAAGTTTACCGACACTGATGCAGATCCATACAACGTCAGCAGAGGATATTTCTTTTCTCATATAGGTTGGGTTGTACTACGTAAACATCCAGATGTTCTAAAAAAAGGTGCTACAGTTTCTTGCAGCGACCTCGAGAAAGATCCTATTGTAGTTTTTCAAAGAAAGTACGACATGTATACTACATATGGAGACATTTATACGGTATATCTGAATTATTTTTTCTCTTTTGTAGATACTACCTTTATCTGGTGTTTGTATTGGCTTTTATTATGCCAACGTTGGTACCTTGGTTGATATGGAATGAATCTCTATGGTACTCAGGAGTCGCATCCGTTATTAGAATTTGTATTACCCTCCATGTGGCTTTGTCGGTGAATTCGGTGGCTCACAGATGGGGAATGAGACCATACGACAAGTGCGTAGATGTAATATACACACATTCTTGTACAAACGTAGACCGTGTTAATTTAAGAAAGAGTAACGAAAAAATGCACTGATTTATTACGCTATAGTAATATGTCAATTTTGTCGTGCAGTTCTATCAGTTCTGTCGAAAACGCAGTTATTTCTGTTCTGGCGTGCGGCGAAGGCTGGCACAATTATCATCACGTTTTTCCTTGGGATTACAAAACGGCTGAATTTGGAAGTTATGCAATGAATATTACTACAGCTTTTATTGATTTCTTCGCCCTTATAGGATGGGTTTATGATCGGAAGACCGCACCTGCTGACATGGTGAAAAAACATGTTCTTCGAAATACTAAAGAAAATATTGATAAAAACACCATCAAGCAGATCGACTAGAAATCAGATATTTGAGTTTGAAAAAGTCTTTCTTAATATAAGAAACACTGCAATAACATCATTTATTTGTTTAACAATTTGATATACTTGAAATAGTTTATATTTATTATTTTTAACATTTAATGCTTTCGCGGTGTGTTGTATTAACATTCAAATATATTTTTTGGGTTTGAACCGCGTTAGTGTCATTTTTATATTGACGTTTCGTGAACATTTCAGCTCACTTCATCAGGGTTTCAAGAGATACTTTATTATTTTTATTTGCGCAAAACTTGAAGCAAAACAATAGCAAGACAATAAAATTAAATTAAATAGCAAAAGACAATATTAAATAGTATTGTATTTAAATTAAAAATCTTAACTCAAACTGTTCTTTATTATTATGTTTTATTTATACAAAAACAGTTTAAGTCAGTTTTTATTTTACACAAAAAAACTCTTTATCTATAATACTTGTTCTACAAAATTATATACTACAACACATTCTTTCTCTAAGTACCTGTTTTACAAAAACAAATGGTATACTACAAAAACTTTCTTCTCTATAAAACCTGTTGTACGAAATGTTATATACTACAAAACATTCTTTCTCTAAAAACCTGTTCGAGATAAATGTGAGTACAAAAAAAGTGATATCAAAAAGTAGCACCAAGTAAACTTTTGTTTTTACGTTATTATATTGTTGAGAAACAATATACAATAGAAAACAATATAAAATAGAAATATAAATATACAATAATATAATTGTGTCAATAGTAAGACTACGCTTTAACTTTTTTTGATTATTAACTAATCTTAAGTACCTAACTATACTTTGGTAAGATTATATTTATTACTAGAACACAGAAGTGTAACAAAAGAAAAAATTTTTTCAAAATATAAAAAATATTTAATGCAAAAAAACTTGGCGCGGCTGCATCGAAAGTCTACAGACAGACATGTCTTACGTACGCGTGCAAACTATTTACAAACTGCAGATAGACATGTCCTACGCGCACGCGCGAGCTTTTTACAATTACAGCTATTTACAATTTATTTTATATATTTCACACAAAAACAAAAGCTACTGAGTAGCTATTGTACATCAAACTGCCGCACAAATAAATAATTTCAGTTTATAATAATTGATGTGCAGCCGCGCCAAGTATTTTGCATCGTCAAATCGATCTGAATCGATCCCCGCGCCTACCACGGTCGGAGGTATTGCCGGAATCTGATTTTTCTGCAAAATTTGTTTATTACGTTTTCTAAATTAATTTTCTACTTCATAAATTTAAAGTATATAGTTTGTAGTTATTTTGTGCCAAGTTTCAAAATAGTTTATTAAAAACAGTTATATTAGAAGTGTTGCTGGCGTGAAACCACTACACCGCAAGAAACATTGTCGAAGCGATCGGTACTATCGGAGGTGTTGCCGACGCGAATAACGCGAACCATTACCGTGGCTCTTGATTCTCTCTTTCTTTCTCTAATTCATACTTCCTGTCTTTCTTTCTTTTTTCTTCTTTCAACGCGCTCGTATATGTATGCTATCTGGTATCAATTTGATCTCATGACGACGACTATGACGTTTCTGAACGTAAATTTCATACACAATTTTGTTTATCTTCCATTATCTCCGTTCAGAAACCATAAACCAAAAAAACGCAAAAATACATTTTTTAAAATGTTTTATTCTGAATTGATTAAGACTAAAATAAAAGTGATCGGTTTAGTCGTTCTTGAAATATTGTGCCCCGTGAAAATCTCCCCACTTCTCAATCATCGCGTGAATTTCGCGTATAATAGGCAACGAAGTCGCGCTCGAACGGTACGAGGCACCACCGTGCCTCTTGATTAAGTATTGTTGTGGTTTTTCGACACCGAAATACTCACATTTATCTCAAACATATTTCAAATATAATAAAATAAACAATAAAAATAAATATTGTAAAAAGTTTATTACTCTCCTGTGTTCCTAGTCTATTAATTTCAAGTTTAAATGTAAATATTAAATTAATTTAAACAAGTACAAGTTTCCTAAATTATAAGCAAAAATTAAATCGGCTTCAAATATCCCGAGGAAAAATGAAAAACATGTAACACTTTTTAATAACTTTTTTCTGTACAAAAACAAAATAACTTATTATTTATCGTTTTATATACATATGTAACGGTCCTATTTTTCGGGAGAAAATATTCCGTTGTTTTATATCTTTTAATTGCTGCGGAGTAGCTCGTCGGATTCCAGGAACAGGTAAGAAAGAGAGTGGACTCGGTAGTTTCAAGTAACAAAAGAACAAGATTTATTCAAATAAAAATAGAATTAAAAAAAATATATACAAACAATTAACGAAAAGAAAAATAGTAGAATAAACGGAAGAATTCACGGTGCGGTGATTCTCAGAATAAGGCGTGAGAAAGTCACGTGTTTAGTCGGTTCGCTCAGTCCTCCGGAAAGAAATATATACAAAAATAACAAAATGCAATGTAAATAATACAATAAACCGAAGACTTAACTGTGCGGTACTCCTCGGAACGGTAGGCGAGAAAGTCACGGTTTTAGTCGGTCTACCCGACGGAGAATCGGAAGATTCCCCCGGAGCGGAGCAGGTGCCGGTTTACC